ACTGTGCAGCACGGAAATATATACAGGATCTTGTGGTGGCTCACAGTGAAAGAGAATGTGACAATGAATGTATGTATGTTCATATGTAACTGAAAAATTGTGCTCTACGCTGGAATTTGACACCACATTGTAAAATGACTATAACTCAATAAAAAAAAGTTTAAAAAATGCAAATAAGTTTTCCGAAAAGCAAAAAAAAAAGTTGAAAAGGGTTACATTCAGTATGTAAAGTTTAAAACCATGCAAAATTGTCCTATTTCATGGTTGTAGACATACACATAAAGACTACTCCAAAATGCAGTACAGGGTTTTAACCCTAATCTTCTACAAGAGAAGAGAAATGGATGGCGCTGTGAGTGGGAAATATCGCTGGCCACATCAGTAAACAAAGAATGCTGCGGCCAGCAAGTCATCAGCCACTGTTGCCACCCCCGACAGTGAGCGGAGGGAACTCAGGATGGAGACAAGCAGGCAGCCCCGGCTCTGCTGTCCCCTCAGCGGTGGGGAAGAACAGGACACTGGCCCTCGAGAGCTAGGTGCACATCAAAGGAATGAGTTCACCTTTGCACCTTCCCAGACATGGAAAAGCGCTAAATTCCTTGAGATGTCTGGCTCTCTTTAATTAACGGTCATCTCCTGATGTTCCAACTACCTGGTCTTTGCTGCAAAAACTCCCACATATACTGGCTCCTCCCTGACCGCTCCAGGGCGTCCCTGAGAGATCTGAGGGACCACCTCCCGGGCTCAAGTCCTCAGAAAGTCCCCCAGATAAAACCCAAGTCTCAGCTTCCAGGCTGTGCGTTTTCAGTGGACAGAGGTGCTCACAGGTGGAGGAGCTCACCCCCCGCGACATCTCATTTCTCAAAGTGAAGCGGCAAGGCGAGAAGGTCTGACGGGGCTGGTGATGCCTGTGTTCATATTATGTGTGATTTTCCGTATGTTTAAGAGACTTCATAATCAAAATTATCGGGAAATAAGAAAAAAGGTAGATGTGCATGAAAATGGGAGGAGGGCGTGGGGTGAGCGGAGGAGTCTGGGAGTCTGGGCAGAGGCCCCCTCCCACTCTGGGCGGTGGCTGGTCCCAGGCAGGAAAGCCACACACAGCCCACAGGGGAGCAGAGAGGCCTGCCGGAGGGAGGGGCAGCTGCCTCAGGCAAACCCAGGAGAAGAGTCCCGCCCCCGCCCCTGCGTCCTCCCCACCCTCCGTCACCTTCACAGCCTCCAGGCGACCTGAATGCAGAAATCCCCAGTGCCTTTCCCTAGAGGCAGCAGCTGGCCCCCTCCAGCCCAACTGCTTCGTCCCGAAACGCACGCTCCACACTACGGTTCTCACTCAGATTGAGGGGATCACCACTTACCTGCAGAGCAGAAGGGAGGCACAGAGACCCCCAGACCTGCAGGAGGACGGGGACAGAGGCTGCACCTGGCTGATGGCAATGAGACTCTTCCCGCCGCATGGGGGGTCTTCAGCCCCCTCCCCCCCTTTCTGCCCTGACACCTCCATCTGACAAGTGGCCCAGGGGTAGCGTTCC